ACCACTCTATGGAGGTTTAACTTTTCATTGCTGTGTTTCATTTAGACAATTCATATATCATGTGGATAATTTTTCTCTCTTTTAATATATGGAGGATATATCACTTTCTTTTGTGATACATCACTTTTGTGATTAGATGCAACTTTTAAGTGTTCTGTAACCAAGGGAGATAGATTAAGTAATGATCCTACATAATTCTGGAGATATTTATCGAATGTGATGAGGCTGATTAGATGTTGTGTTTAATCCCTTTATAAGGCATTCTTTACTGCCTGTTGAGCAAGTTAAGCTGTCGGGATACTGTACCTATCAAAGCAGGTGCTGTGATTTACAGCAGTAAGCTTTTTTAGGTTATTACTCACTCATGAGCCTGATTTGCAATGGCCACTAGAGGGCGATCGCGTCACAAACGCGAAGATGTTTAAACACCATTGAACTGGGTTTCCACAGTGAGTTCAATGCAGCGCCTAGCAGAGAGAGTCCTAAGCATAGATGAAGTTTAATAAATATCCTTGAAAAAATAAACCTAGTGGAATGTCAGTGAAATATTACCTTTCAAAGTCTGAAAGATTTACTGAATTCAACCTAAAGATGAGGTTGTTAGCTAAGTAATGTTGCATTCTCATCATGATCCAGTGCTGTGAAGTCACTGGAAATCACGCATTAAATGATGGCCAGTTACATGAAAAGGTCATTTTTCAACATCCACTTACACATACAATAGTCAAAGATTCATCTTCGCCTCGACCTTTAAGCTTCTCTTTCTCTTTATTATTTTGTATTGTTTGATGAGTTATGATGAGGCAAACATCCACACAGCTGCCACTCAGGTCAAGGCACTCAAATTTGACAAAGGTCCAGAAACTCCCTATATGTCCTGTCTCATCCCAATCTTTTCCTTTTCCCTCAAAGTAGCCAATGAGTCTCACAGCTGTCACTTCCTTGCTTTTCTTTACAGAGACTGTGTTCTACTTCTTGGTACTGCTGTTTACATGAGTCTATTTTCAAATTTGTCTTACCTTTTAAGTCTCTCAAAATCTCTGGGTTTTCACTCTATGCATTTTTCTTTCCCTATCACTACTGACAAACGTGGAGATGTGCCCTGTGGTATGTACCTGAGTTCAGAGTACTCTGATCTTGTGCTACTGGGAAGGTTAAACATGGCCCCATCTTCGGCAGCTGAATGCCAAGGAATCACTGGGCATCATCCTCCCCTAGGCCAACCACTTCTGTCAGAAGCCACGTCATGTATGATTCTCCCCCCTTCTTGTGATGGCAGCAGCTGTTGATGCTCCATGCCTTGAACTTTTAATTCACTGTGTCACCAGATAATAATATTCTAACCCACTCATTCATTTTTCACTCTTAGTTGGGAAGGCTTTTCTAAAGACTTCCCATCTACGTTTTCTCCACAGAACTGAAGCCCTTATTCATTACCGTGTTTGGCTTCTTTACCATGTTCCTACATGATTTGTTTCTTCCAACTGGAGCTTAAAAGAGGAGGTAGGAAATTATAAATCAGTAGGAAGATATTCAAAGCAAAGTATTTCTTTTTTCTCTTCCTCTGTACTCATAAGTGACTTAGAATATGAAGAAATCAAATACACTCACAAATACTGGAAGTAATGGTGAATAAAACACTGGGAGAAGTTTGAGAGCATGGCTGGGCACATGACAGCCAGACTTGGCTTCACAGGCCATGGCACAGAGAAGGGGATCAGCATGCAGGGGAGTTGCTCTTCCTGCCAGGTCTCCCAGCAGCCCAGACTGCACACTATTAGGGGAAAGTGATGGGGTAGCATTCCAGCTCCTCCCCATCCATGAAGGCAAGGATATGTTTCCATTTTGGCTCCCAACAGGGCACAAAGATGTTTGTGATGCTTGGCTGTGACTAGAAGGGCTAACAATGAACTGATAGCCTTAACGTATCACAGTTCTCTTAAGAAACAACTTTTAGCAGCCTTTGTTGCTCCTTCTAGTCACAGCCCAGTATCACAAACACACAAAAATCTGTCATGTGCATTAGAAGCATTAGAATCCAAGTGACTCTTCTGAAAGGGTTGCCCCATCAGGCAGAATCCCCATTTCCTTCAGACCCATTTTCCATGGGCATCACACCAAAGAGAGCACTACTCACTTGCACCTCAGAAGCTAAGTAATAATAGTTACCAAGAGTGGTACACATTTTCAAATCGTCAATCACATCTTCTTCAAGGGTACGACACATTTTCTGAATGGAGATGCCACTTGTCCACCTTTACAGAGAACCAAACACACATACCCCATCCTGAGGCTCTTTGTAAGATAAGAAATAATATTTCACTTTTTAATCAAAAATCAGGCCTATGCAGTTTTTAATAACAAGAGGATTGAGGAACAGGTTCCTGACCAATGCCAGTGGCTGGAACTCAGAAGAAGGCATATTCAAATATTTGTCCATCTATATGGACAGAACTTTACAAGATTCTATAAGGTACATAAGGAAGTTGGTGAATGGTGAGAGCTAGGGAAACAGCACGTTTGAAGAACATTAAGAGAGAAACAAGTGGAAAGATTATAGTATGTCCCCTGCCCTGAAAGTTACCTCCACAAAGCTGGAAGCATCTGTCCCTCCTTCTCTATGAAAGAGCTCAGTGCTCATATGATGCCTGAAACTTCACACACACAGTATAAAGTTAGGTGAATGTACAAGCCAGAATTAGCTTTTTACCCTTTCTACAACTTCTTTTCTTCGCAGGTGTCAAAACAGTTTTTAAATTTTAGATCTGGAAGCATTTCAAATATAGAGAAAATAGGATAACATACCCAACGACTCCTTGCTCATCACTGACACAGGCAACTCTTTCCCTTCTTCTTGCCTGAGTCCATCAGTAAGTGCCATTCATGTCAAACAAACAACCCTCCAAACATTAATAAGAAACACATGCCTCAGATCAGTAAAGAAATAATTCTGAAAAAGTTCCAGGGAAGATTGGGAGATGAACAGAATGAAAACACCGGACCAGAGGATATACTATACAGGCACACATGCGTGTGTGTGAATCCATCCATACATAGATGACATATATTTAAGTCAGTTTGGAGGGAATAAGACAACAATGTGAACATGTCTTCTTTTTTTTTTTTTTTTTGGTACCAGGGATCGAACTAGGGACCTCCACCTTTGAGGCAGGCGGAGGAACTACTGAGCTAAATCCCCGGCCCATGAACATATCTTCTTAATGGCCAGACTAATCTCTACTTTTCTTTCTGAGACAGCTACAGTTTGCCTGCTTGAAATGCGTATTGGAGTTTAATCTCTACTTTAGAGGTAGGTACCCTATCCAGATTATGGTGTTAAAAGCAGGCCCTTTGAGGGGTGATTTGCATTAGACAAGATAATCAGGCTGAGGCCCCAGGATTGAATATTAGTGGCTTTTAAAAGAAGAGAGAGCACTATCCCTTTCCATGTGATGCCCTGAGCCACATCTGTTCTCTTCAGCCAGAACCCCAATGCCAGAGGCCATCACTTGGCCTCAGAATAGAACTCTGAGCCCAAATAACCTCTGTCTTGATAACTTACCTGATACATGATATTAGTTCATAAAAATGAACTAACATATGGGAGAAATTAACCCCACATATGAGAAATTGACCCCAGCACTGGCTGGGCATAGTGCTTCCAGCCAGGTATCAGGGCCTAAAAACAGAAGTGTTCTCAGCCTCAGTGTTGAACTGGCCTCCAGTCTCAAGTCTCTTTCTAACCTGGCTTGTTTCACCCTGAGACTCCCTGATGACCAGCAGGCCACATGAAAACTGCAACAAATCGTAGGCCCAGAACTCTTCAGCCCTTCTGCCTTCATCTTGCAATGACCTTGACTGAGAGGATGTGTAGTTCCCAGCCCAGCCTGGTGCTGTGAACCTATAATCTGAGCACTTTGGGAGGCTGACACAGGAGGATCACAAGGTTGAAACCAGCTTGGGCAATTTAATGACTCAGAAAGACCCTGTCTGAAAATAAAAATAAGAATGGGCTCTGGATGTGGCTCAGTGCAAAGGCCGTGGTTCAGGCCACAGTATTGCAAAATGAGTAAATGAATAAATGAGTGAATGAATGAGTGATTCCCTGCCACCGACAGAATGATGACTAACCTCCTTCTAAACTTCTAGCACTAAACTGAAGAAGAGGCAAACATTTAATTATCAAAAGTAGCAGGCCGGGGATTTAGTTCAGTGGTTTTGCTGCCTGCTATGCAAGTACAAGGACCCAAGTTCGATCCCTAGTACCAAAAAAAAAAAAAAAAGTAGAAAAAGTAAGTATAATATGAAAACAGAATACTGGAGTAAGAAATTCTTTCTACAAATGAGTCACTGGAGCCTTTCTGATGCATTTTAAACTTCCCATGAGAGTCTATTCAGTGTTCTTCATTTCTGCCTGTTCTGTCTTTCCCAAATAATTCTTTCTCCTGAAAACCAATTTAGAGAAAACCACCTGCTTACACCATTTGGCGCTATGAGATTGTCACTGAAACAAATTAACACGAGGCTTCCAAAACCACTATAGGTCCACAAAGTTCCTGGAAATGTGAGAATAAATTTATTAAAAGAACAGGCCATCAAAGTTTTATGTGCTATTCCATGAACTTCTTATTTTCTTCTTAGATAAAGTTTCCATTTTTGAAGCTGTGCTTTAGAGAGGAAGAAATGTAACATCTGCCTGCAGACAGAGACAGGAAAATAATATATAGGAGCTGCTGTTGAGTTGAAAGTGATGGTAATGATATTAAGCAATGTGGATTTATAGTTCATTCACAATGACACATTTGTTTCTGATTTAAGTTAATTAAGACCATTTTGTTTCTTTTCTGCTACCACATGTAACCCTTTAAAAAGGAGAAGCAAATAGACATAGTTTTTTGGAGAGATTCCAGACATCAGTAGTTTAATGTCAATGCAGAAGGAAAAGGCTGATTGCACCCATGTCCCGTATCATGATTGCATCTGTCAGCTATTGTACTTACTACAGTTACTCAGACCGTTGTCCGGGTCACATAGGGAGCTATCACCACATGAATCGAGGCAGGAACTGTAGAGGCATCGCTGGTCTCCTTCTTGACATGGAGTCTGACCTATGGAGGGGGAAAAGCACAGTGGCTTTCATCATCTACAAATTCCTTACACTCGATCAAAAGGAGCAAGAATGTCTGGGGGATCTGAGGAATGACATAACTTTAATTTCCTTCCAATTTCTCCAAAAATATTGAACACATGTGCAATAGGTAATTTCTAGATTCCTATTCCTGGCAACTAAATTCAATGCTGCTATTTCAAAAGGATGTTGTAGGAGTAAAGAAGTAAGGGACAACATACACTAAAAAAAGATGGTTGTTGCTTTTAATGAGGGAAAATGTAGTGCTTTATTTTTACATGGGTCACTATACTTGATTGCAAAATAAAATTCAAGTGATTTGAAGTAGAGAGAACAATATAAAGATCTTAAAGTTCTAGATATTAAATAGCATTACTTGAAAAACCTCCATTTGCTCCCAACTCGAGTTTTCCCTCTTAAGAAAAATGTTGTCCCTAGTAATAAGACATCAACACCACTGCAGTGAAGAGACTGTATCTCGGTAAAGTCTTATGCAGCTGTTGTCCATATTGTCAGTATGTCCTTGGGAAATGTCACCAGTCTAATCTGATGACCTGAGAACTGGGTTTCTTGTTTCCAAATGAGTGACAGCAGTAACGTCAGCCTTTGCTCTAATGGCTTTTCCTTAAACCATGTAGAGAGGAAACTGCTTTTCCCATTGATTTCCTGGTCATTTGTAGATTAAGTGGATAAGGTAATAAATTACTACCCATTCTCTCTACCTCTCCCTCATTATAGTAAGTTGCTTTCAGACATGTCATCTGGAATCTAGACAATCTTGCAAGGCACTTTTCAGTAAAAATAGCTGTATTTGTGCAAATGTAATCCTTCTTATCTGTAATTCTAAGACATGTTTATTTACTGGAATCCTTCTTCTTCCAAGTCCACTAATATGCAATGTTATGCATTACCATCTTGCAGAAAGGAAATGTCACTATTTTTGTAAACCAGCAGGATCAAACTCTTATCTCAAGGCCAGCCCAAGCAATCTGCATCCATTTAAGTTCTTAAGGAAGTTTTAAGACATCACACATTCGTTATTTCAGTAAATATTAAGTGCCTGCTGTGTGATCATTGCTTGACTCAAGATACATAAAGAGGAGCTGCAGCAGACGAAGGCAGTAGCGAGACACTTCCCCCAGGAGTTTCCCAGGCAGATGGAGTAAGTTGCAGGGAAAGGGAAAGAAGGGTTTGCCAAGCAGAAAGCAACACAGGACAAGACCTGGGATAGGACAGTGCCCAGGTTAAAGTCACTGGAGTTTTTGCCACTGAGAAGAGTGAGGGAGACCAGACAGATAGACAGAGCCAGAGCACGAAGGGTTTTAAAGGCCTAAATGTTCAGCAGGATCCAAGCCCTTGGGACCAGAGGTTCCTGGTTCTTTCCCCAGACATCCAGCAGAACAAACTGGTGACTCCTGACGACAGCCTACGTGGACCACGCTCTCCTTCAGCCTCAGCTCCCTGAGTCGCTATGGCCTCCTCCTCTAGTACACAGACATGTCTCACTCCTTCCCGCCACAGGGCTCTTGGCCAAGAAGGCTGTGTGTCTGAAATGCTTTTCCAAGTTCTTGTCTTCCTTAACTCTGAGCTCTAGTTGAACCTACTGGAGTAAATAATTTAAAGATAAATAGGGATAGTGGGATAGTGGTGCTTGTCTGTAATCTCAGCACTCTGGGAAGCTGAGACAGGAAGATTACAAGTTCGAGCCCAGCCTTGGCACCTTAGTGACTTAGAAAGACTCTGCCTCAAAATTTAAAAACAAATTCAAAAACAGATGGGTATGTAGCTCAGTAACTCAGTGCAAAGCCCTTGGATTCAATCTCCAGTACTGCAAAAATAATGATAATAATATAAAAATACTAATATTTTACTTTTTCTTGCCATTTTATGAGTTTCTTGCATTTCACACAGGTAAGTAAATAATCTATAAATCCTGCCATTTCATAATGAACAATCTAAAATTATTTCAGATTATATGGGATTACATAGAAAGAATTGAATCATATAGAAAGAAAAAGCAATTTGATCCAAAGGGAGGTGCTTGTTTGATATGAACACATTAACTCATGTCTAGTAAAGGATTTCCTTTTGAATTTTCAAATCAGTAAAACAAAGCTGCCTTCATATATTATTTCCACGTAATCTGATTTAAAAGCTCTCCCTTTAAATTTTGGATGTGTTTTCTATAAAGCCATTATAATGATAAATATTCTTTATGATGAAACTAATTTATCAACAGGTGAGATCAGTTCCATTAGCTGACTATGGATAAACACAGCTAATGTATGCTTTAACATAATAGCCATGTCGTAATGGCTGGCACTCACTAAGTTCCTATCAAGTGTCAAAGCTACAAAGTAGTTATCATTCCTTTGAATTTACAGCTATTGAAATGTAAAAAAATTTGCCTAAAACCAACAAGAGGGTAAATAGTAAAGCAAGCTTGAAGCCAAGCACAATGGTACAGCAGTTGTTCTCTAGACAACCAGGCTGAGGCCAGAGCATGTGAACCAATGTAGTGATTTTTAAGTTTGTGGTATTCTTACCGGCCCCACACTGAGAGGGAGCTAGAATTAAAAATCCTCAGTGTGGAATTTTCTTTTCTGACACAGTCACATTTAAAAAGCAACTTATTTGATTTATTTTTTCACTTTAAGTTTCCCACATGGATACTCCTTTTACAGTGTATTTAAGTTATGTCTTGGTAATGGGAAACACTAAACTGCTTCTGTGAGCATGTTTATTTTAGGAACGTGATGCATTCAATTTCAAAAGCCAGTTCCATCTAATTGCAATCTAATCTTGTTTAATTATGTGCTATACTCTAAACTATTCTCATGGCTTTCCCCATAGAATAGTGAACTGACCATTCTATGGCACCTCTACCCTTTACCTTAGGAATGATTTTGCAGTAGGTGCTACTTGAACATTATATTTACCATAAGGAAAAGTTTCCTGGTGGCTGGGGCTAGCCGGACACTGTGTTAGGCCATTTGAATTATTTATGTGGGAATCTTCCCGAAGCACTAAGCAACTTTCAGATGTTTTGCTTTGTTCTTCAGAAAAGGTCCACCAATAAAGGGCTGCTCTGGGGGCGGGGGGCACACTCACTGTTGCCGCAGTCCTGTTCGTCACTTCCATCCTTACAGTCTTCATCTCCATCGCATTGGAAAGTGCTTGGGATGCACTGTCCATTTCTGCATTCCACCAGACCTTGGGTGTGGCAGGCTAGGAAAGGCCAGAGTAAGATTTGCTTTATTTATTCACTCTACTTTTAATCTGCAATTCACATAAATCGTTTCCACTTACCAACCATCACCAAGAAATGATGTTATATATACACAAATGGATATATCATTATTTCTCATAACTTTGAGAGCATCTTTTGGAATAGAAAGTTTTCTTTCTAAAATATTTCCTCCCTTATTGAAGACTATATACTAAAAATTAACTTTCTCTTGGGAACTATGTGATTTTTTCCAATGGTGATGGGGGTAGTAATAGCAATATTGCCAATAATATAAACTAGAACTCATGAAGAGCTTATTACATAGCAAGAACTATGAAAGGTCTCTTTTGTACATGATTCCAAATCCTCATAAGAATCTTACAAAGTAGATGTAATTGTCCACTCATTTATAGGAAAATGAATAGATCTTGAGCCTATAATCTGTGAAATAATCAGAAACAAAAGATTAAATATCTCATGGTTTCTTTTATATGAGAAACCCAAAATATAAATAATTTAAAGACAAAAATGAAGAGAGATGCTAGGGAGTAGGGAAGTAGACTTCATGGAAATGGGAAGAGGGTCTGAAAGGAGGGAAAGGGAGGCGGGAAGAAGAGTAAAAATGATTAAGATATGATATGAATGTGTACCAGTTCCCCAAAATGAGTGTATTACAAACATATACTAATAAAAATAAGGCTAATAATTGTTTTTAAAAATGTTATTATAGTCCTCCTCTTACAGATGAAAAAACTGACACTCGGAGAGTGTTGTGCCTGTCTAAAACTCACATGGCTACTAAGTAAACTTTTCTGACTCCAGGCCCAATAATGCATTCCATAACTACCTCCCCTCATGAAACAAAGAAATATATATACTATATATATGCCAGTGAACTCACAGGGTCTAACACACAAAGACCCTTGACAGGGATGGACTGGTAGCAATTGGCCTTCTGATCCTGTTATTTCTCTAATGTCTTTCTTTTTTTTTCAGTTTTTATTTTTTTATTTATACATGTTTGCAGTGCATAATGATTACATTCCAAGAGGGCAATTGGTACATGCACATAATGCATCTTAATTCTTTTTCTTCCCCTTTCCCTCCACTCTCTCACCCTTCCTCAATCTCTTGGTCCCTTCCCATTTGCAAAAGGTCTATCTCCCTATTTCCTATTCTAAATGTCTTTCAAGAGCATCAGAAACCCATGTACCACTGACCTCATCCTTTCTTGAATTACCATCTAATATTAAGATCCCTGGTCTTGAATCAAAGGCCAGTACCAAGCATGTTTAACTTAGTATTATGTCCTCGCTGTCCAAGTTCACGTTGGTACACCCCACTGTATTCCAATGGATCCCTACGCAAGAATGAGTCACACTCATTTCAAATTCAACTCATGACAATGGAAAGCTAAACACCGAGTTTGTATAAATTTTTATGAGACTTTTCTTATGCCAAAAGAAAGTCTATGTCACCTACAGTTTTATTTTGCTTCAAATTATAAACCAATTAAATATTTAATCTCATATATTGCATTAGATTTTGTAAGTAAGATAGAGATTATTTAAAGTATACAGGAGGACATGTGTAGGTTATATATAAATACTGTGCCATGTTATGTAAAGGACTTGAGTATCCCTATATTGTAGTTCCCACCAAAGGTCCCATAATCAAAGCCCTCCAGATACCGAGGGACAACTGTGTATCAACTATTTCTGCTTTTATTAGACAACAAAAGATAAAATGAAAAGTTTAAATAGTTCAAGCATGCAAGAAAGACATTGTACTAACTCTTTCCAATTAATCATCCTCTTTTAATTGATAAACATCGCTGTTTAATAATTTTTATTATTGCTAACTGAGGACATATATTTTCTGTGAGGGAAAAATGGTTAATAGTCACATCTGTTTTTACTGCTTTGGTAGTGTAAGAGCACCCCCAAATTGTCACTCACTCAGAAACACAGTAAGCTATGATATGATAATTACTATCTCACACTCTGTTTCACTGTCTGAACATGACAAGCTCTCTTCTCCCTGGTAATGCTCTCGGCATTCGCCCACAAATGGCCCCTGAGAACACTTTTTGAGGCTCCTCCAGGGAAGCTCAGCTGCTTGTATATCATTTGCAGGAAAAAGGTCTTCTGGTTTTTGAGAAGAGCTTTACATTTGGCAAGATCATAAATGCATAAAGGAGACAGGAGCAGCGACAGACATAACAGACACTTGCTGGACCAGCTCCACCAAATTACATTTGGAGTTTGGGAGAGAAGGATGTGAAGACAGGCACGCTGCATTGTTACTTAGAGGCAAGAATCAAGGTACTGTATAAGGCTCTTTCCCTTTGAATGCTGTTAGGCAGTGAGCCTTGAGTACAAGCTAAACAAAGGAGAAATGGAAAACTAAGCAAAATGTGAACCCTCAGTGCACTCACAGCAGTTGGCCTCATCAGACTTGTCCACACAGTCGTGGTCACCATCACACACCCACTCGGCTATAATGCAGCGCCCATCCCCGCAGCGATGCTCCTTGGCGGAATCACAGTCTGGAGAAAAGAACACTTATGAAGATGGGGAGAACTAGCATGAAAGCACTTAGAATTGTACGGCTTACAGTTCCAGTTTAAGAGAAACTATTCCCATTGTTCCAGTACCATCAATAACATTTCTATGTTGAGCCTGACACAATTAAAACAGTACCTTCCACAAAGCCTGAGCTCCACACCCAACATTGCTATAGGGTAAAATGTGTCTGGTTTTGTTTTAGATGTACAACAACTCTGCCAAGCTTTCCCATGGCCCCAAGTTTGTTATTGTTATCATTGTTTGTTTTCTTGTGAAAAATTTGTGGGTTTTGTATCTACTCAAATCAACAGAACTGCAATTTGTGCTTCACAAAGCAGAGATGATTAGATGTATTTGTGACAAATCCTTCATTTTTCTAAAAATAGTTAACTCACCTTTCTGCTAAATTAGGAAGGTGAATATCTTCTTAGCTCATCTTCCTGATGCTAAGTTTAAGTTCTCTACTGGACTATTTTAATATATAACTCATTTTTGAAAGAATCGCTCAGTAAACAAAACAAAAGATTTCCATGTTTCTAGATTAAAACTCTCCCCCCGTCTGGACATCTCTGGAAGAAAAAATATATGTAACACTAAATGATACGTTTCTCCCCACAAAAGGCAGAATCCAGAAGCTGTTTTGCCATGACAGGTGGGGCAACTTACATGTACTCAGCTCTTTAAAGATGTGTATGGATTTACAAACAGCAGAGCTAATAATGGGCAAGTTTCATGAGTTTCCCTTAACAGAGCCACTGTCATAGGATCCTGATAGTTCATGGATTTTAAAAGGTATTTAGGGACAATAAAACAACATGTACAACAGAGAGTGTAGAGAAAAGAAGAAAAGCAAAAGAGGTGGGACACTTGGGTAAGACCTAGAAAAGCCACCCTTGCTCAGCTACTAGAGATGGAGAGCCAGAGCACAGAGCGGTCCAAGGGAAAGTCATAGCCATTGTCATGAGATGAAGACCATCCCGAGAACACAAACTTCATGATGTCCTCATATCTTCAGAGGCCTTATGTTGAGTGGAAAGATCACCCCTTTTCACACCGTAACCATCCCCTGGCCCTGCCTACTGTCCTCTCCAACTGCCGAGCCACACTCTCTGATCCCACATTCCCCATTATTTCACCGGGGAAAGAAAGGGTTGGATTAGATGATCTCTGAGGCATCCTGAACCTATTATTCTATGACATATATAATTACAATCATCTTTCTTCCTTCATCTCAAGTTTAGTAAGTCCAAGAAAATAATCTACATCAGATGGTTTGTACATTATACCTGTGGTGGCGAACCTATGGCACATATGCCACAGTGGGCACTCAGAGCCCTCTCTGCCGCATGTGAGCCAAGTCGCCCCAGCATCACCGCAGCAGCTAAGCACTCAGATTTCATTACAGAATTGTCACTTTGCAATAGATACACGGGTTTGGGGGTGCAGTTTGGGTACTGGGTCTTTACAAGGTTGGCCATCACTGACCTATACATCTGCCAGTGCTTTTATGAATCAGACCCTCACCACTCCAACACATCCCTCATATCATGCTCCTGCTCCTTTCCAACATTGCTTTCCATACTCCCAAATGCCAAACACTGTCTCACATCATGTGCAACCCCCAACCCAGCTGCCCCCATTGTTCATATGTCAAATTTCCTATTGTCAGGGCCGGGGATTTAGCTCAGTGGTTAAGCTGCCTGCCTCACAAGTGCAAGGACCCAAGTTTGATCCCCGGTACCAAAAAAAAAAGAAAAAGAAAAATTTCCTATTATCAGTCAACATTATAGTACCTAAAAATTCTAAAGCTAATCACAAAGCCAAAACATCTATACACTAAATAATTTTGCAGGTTTAAATTTATGAGGTGACTTTCAGAAATTAGCATGACTCTTTCAAAAGTAGGTTTATTCTTTAAAAGTTAAAATCAGTATTTTTACATAAGCAAATGTGTCCCCCTAAGCCTGGGTATAGCTACTGCAGGAGGAGTTCCTGTAGTGCTTGGGAACCGAGAAGGGCTGTTGCTTATACATAGCACTTTGCAATATATCTGTCTCAAAGTTTTGCTCAAGAGCTCAAATCCAAACATAAACCACAGACTGTGACCAGAGAAGAAAGAGAGCATTTACACAGAAACAAATATATTAGAACTAGCAAAGTTTACCCATCTTTCCACCCCATTTCCTTAATATTTCCTCATATGACTTTCTGTGTGAAGCATTTCTATATAAGACAGGGTGATTCAACAAACTTCCTTCTTCTAGAGAAATAAGCAACCAACCATTTTACAACTTAACATGTTCATGGTATTAACAGCTAGTGAGGTAAATGTATCGGTTAGACATTTCTGTGACTTTCACAAACAACCATTGGGGAAAAATGCCACTTACCGCAGTTTTGTTCATCACTGAGATCCCCGCAGTCGTCAAATCCGTCACACACAAAGCTGTAATTAAGGCACTTGCCCGTGTGACAGCGAAACAGATCCACACTGCAGTCTGCAAACAGAAGGTCCCAATGTGTCATCAGAGTACTGCAGATGTCACAGCAGTACTTTAACAAAAGCTATCATGGGGAGAAGGAAGCCACACTGGTAACCTGGCCCATGCCCACTGTTTTACAGGTGAGGAGACTGGAACGGAGCACAAATGACCTGCTCAGGGTCACTTAATAATTTACTGCAAAACCAATACTAAGCCCCACTGGTTCCCAAGCCAAGGACTTCTGTCATTTTTTGAAAGTGTTTATCTGACTTTTGTTTTCCATTGCCTTTAAGCTCCTTAATAGACGTGAAGGTCTATTCTCATTTCACCGTGGCTCCTAATGAAGCTTCTGTTCATACGCAATGAATGATTTTAAGAGGAAGTTAGCAATTTTTTCCTAGAAGTGTTCCCTTTAGAGTCAAAGTCTATGTTGGTCAATGGTAAATATAAACATAATGGAGAAAATAAGCTGCCCAGATTATAAAGGTATCATTTCTTTTCATATAAATATTAATGTAATATCAATTGAGTGTTCCATAACATGATCCTCAGATAAACAAGTACTGCCCTAAGATTATGGTGGCAAAATGAGAATAAATGCTATATAATCTCAGGAATTGTATACTTAGTGTTCAAACCAATTATATGCAGGGAAATTCTTTCTCAATATTATTAAGAAAATAGTTCTTATACCTGAGTAGACTATAACTCCATCCTGTTACTGACATCTACTAGCTATGGATTTTTAGTGTGTTTGGTTCAACTCTAGGAGTCTGTGAACTGATCTATGAAATTGGAATCACATAATCCTCTTAATATGATTTAGGAGAATGGTTTAATGAAATAATATGTGTAAAATGCCCAAACACTAAATAAGAAAGCTCTTTTCAACATATGGTATCAGGGTAACTAGATATCAAATAAGCAATAAATGAATTCATGGTTTCACCTCAAACAATGTTCAAAAATCAAAGAGATCATAGATTTAAAGATAAGAATGAATATCATAAAGCTTCCAGAAGAAAATATAGGGGAAAATCTTTATGACCTTGAATTAGGCAAAGAATTTTCAAATATGATACCAAAACCACAACAATTCAAAAGACATCATTAAGGAAATGAATAGACAAGCCACATACTGGAAAAATATGACATATTCTGAGCACATATAAAACTTCAATACCCAATAATAAGATAACAAACAATGCAATTATATGTGGGCTAAGCACTTGAACAGAAAGTCTTTGTGAAAGACATAAAAAATGACCAATAAGAATATGAAAAGGTACCAAACATTCTTGGTCATTAAAGGTAAACTTAATCCACAATAAGATACTATTACACATCTTCTAAAATGGCTATAATAAAAAGGCAGACAAAACCAAGTACTGGCAAGGATTTTGAAAAACTGAAACTCTCTTGCATTGCTGATAGGAATATAAAATAATAATATCACCTCTGAAAACAATTAATATCTTCTTGTGAAGGTAAATACAACCTTACTACATAATAAACTCATGTACTCTACTCTTAGAAATCTATCGAAGAGAAATTAAATATTTATCTGCACAAATATTTGTATATGAACACTCATAGCAGCATTATATTTAATAACCAAAACCAGACAAAATCCAAATGCTTGCTAACTGATGAATGGACAACCACATGCATTATACTCATACAATGAAATATTATCCATTGATTGAAAGAACTAAACTACTGATATATGTGACAGTACTAATGAAATTCAAAAATGTCATGTTAAGTAAAAGAAACCAGACACAAACGTTATGAACCATTTGTAAAATTCCCAGACAAAGAAAATTTGTACAGAGTTCAGAGCCATGGTTACCACTGTCTGGTGGGGTGAAGAGGAAGATTGACTGCAAATATGTGGGACAGAAATTTGGAGGGAGATGAAAAAGTTCTAAGCCTGGATAGTGGTGATGGTTGCAGAATCCTATAAATGTGCTAAAAATCAATAGGTGAAAATATGATGTATAAACTTTACCTCATTATAACAACTGTAAAAGTGTTTTTAATTAATACAAGTAAAGAGCCGTGCATTTAATAGTGACTAGATTTCTTAAACATGTATCTTTCCCCTGGATTAAATTAATTAAATGCAAAAATAGGTTGTTTAAGGCTGGAGAGGGATCATGGAAGAAGGGTTTCATGGAGTGGATGCAATAAAAAGTTTAGCATGTCTCCAGTAGAGGGAATTTCGAGAACAAATGAAAGAGATGAACAATGGGAGCACATCTGATCATCTGCTTGCCTGATGAGGACTAAGAATCGAGTCTCTTGAACTCCAGGTTTATCCTCCTAATTCCCATACAGCTGGTGGGAGGCACCTCTTTACTATCCTCATCCCCAACATCCCAGATGTGGTACCTATTATCCCTCTAAGGGATAATTTCCAATGCTCTACAGCACAATAGGGTGCCCGTAGTTTAGAACAATCTATATGAAGAACTAGAAAAGAGGGATTTAAAAGCTCTAACCACAAAAATGTGATAAAAAGATGGAAATGCTAACTACGATGATCTGATCATCATGCATCATGCACATGTATTGAATTATCACTCTGTACCCCACAAGTTTGTACAATTATTGCCCCAATTGAAAAGAAAACAAGTCTTGGTATTGATCAGTTAAATTGTTAACCACACCAAAATATTACATTTACCTATGCATGAATCATAAATATATATCTATTTTTAGAAATCATTATTCTAAAATGAATCATTTTTTTAAAAACTTTAAAATTACATCATTTTAGGAATGGAACGGGCCTTGGAGATTATCTATGTGATATCTTCATTAAAAAGATGCGTGTATGTGTAACACACACGAACACACATACTTGTATACACATATGTTCAGTTATACACATACAAAACCTTGTTAGGACTTTTTATTTTTTAACTCTACCAGCCTGAATAATTTTTTAAAAGAATGGGTGTCATCCTCTCTCAGTTACGGCCATGACTGTGCTGTTTTTCTATCATTCAGCAGAGGGCGCTGTCTCTCCGCCCAATAGCCCAACACTGGCTGGAGTGCGTGATAGCTGAGTTCAGAAAGGTTATGTATGACATTGGTCTTCATGCCCTCTGGGAAAACTTGGGGACTTTGTGCATCAAGATATATACGCTTCCTTGCAAAGTTTAATTTTTTTTTTTGTTTTAATCTAAATGACCCTTGTGGGAAGTTTTGAACCAATATGCTACAATCAGCAATAACCAGAGAAATAAGGCTTCTCAATTTGACTATCAGTGCAAAAGTACTCGTGTCCCCTAGAGGAGGTAGGAAAATGGCCAATTTTCCAGTACACTTCCATTTTCTTTCTTTCTTTTTTTGATGGGGGGGGCTGCTGCCATTTCAAATCTCCTTTCAGAATCTGATAACCATGAGAAAAACACCAAAAATTTCCAAAGATTTATGTGTCCTCTGTGAAGCATAATCTGGGCCTCTAGTAATTCATACTAAAACACCTCACTGGAGAGATTCTTGTTAAGTAGTATCCTTATTTATTAAATTATCTCATACATGGGGAGGACACAGGAATTTTTTTAAAATCTTTATTCACACAGGTGCAGATTCAACCTTCCACTGGTGTGACTTCCTCAGTTAGAAGTTACATACAATGTTAGCTGCATTTGGAAAGCGACTTGTTACTTCCCTAAGGTCTGTGTGACTAGTAAACACTCAAAATCCTATCCAGAGGCACTGCATAGCCAGAAATACATAGCAAATAGCAAAGATCACAGTGCCTCCTTTTATTGGAATAAATGTTTATTTGAACTGAGAGAGATGTTGTCAGCACAATCTAGGGCCAACAATTCACAGTTTTCAAAAGGTGCTTGCTGTGATTTTCTTGCTCAATACAGCATAATTTTGCATGACCTAGGGTAAATGTTTTTCTAACTTCAGCTCTTTTTTCTTAAGGAGATCTTGATACAAAATGTTTCTTTGAAGTTCTTGCATGTTAATATTTATTTCTGCTTGGCATCTCACAGACATACTATTGGCTTTTATCCCTCAAATTATCATTAAATTAGAGCTGAAAACTAAGAAACAGAGAGCTTTTTTATTAAGGGCTTCTTTCAATGCCCTTAGTCTCTATGACTCTATAAACATTCATGGGTTGACTCAACTCAAGGAACAAGTATGAAGTTCAGATTCTGCCTACAGAATGTTAAGATGGGTAGCACCAAGGATCATTTCATCCAACCTTCTCACTGCGAGATGACCAGAGAAATTAAGTGGTTTTTCCACATCGCTCAGCCAATTAACAGCAGAGCTGTGAAAAAAGACAGGCATCTTGAGTCCCTGAGTTCTTTCTGCTATTGGTGCTACCTCTGGAGGAAGTGTTTCTCAACTGTGGCGCTATTGATGGGGTGGACTGCATACTTCTTCACTAGGTCAGGGATGGCTGCCCTGTGCACTGTAGGACGTTTAGCAGCATCTTAGGCCTTTACCCACTGGATGCCAGTAGCATGACCCCCAGCCTGCCCTTCAGTGACGACAGGCAAAAACGTCCCCATTGCAAAATGTCACTTAGAGAGTTGAAAACCACTGTTCTAGAGTATAAAACCTCACCTGAGTGCAAGGCCCACCTTTTCCATTAGCTTCTCTACACAGCCAAGCTCCTGGCAGTCCTAATGTCTCTGTTCATGGGATTTAGTACTGGTATATTTTTGTGTACATCAATCTTGTTTGATTTTGTGGCATTCCTTGTATTATCGTTTCAAAATACCATATTCAATGGTTCTTTGTTTATATGTTATTTCTGTAACTAGACTAAAAGCCTCATGAAAAAAGAAACCAGGTCTTAACATGTCCACTCACTGGGTGCCTAGGACATGCTTCGCACATAGCTGGAATTCAAGAATATCCAATAGCTTGATTGATTCAGTATAAGCAGATTGTCACTACATAAAAGTGAATTGGAAATATTATTTGAAATATCAACTTTCATTTTGTGCTATTTAGGTTGCTTTTTTCCTAAACAGCTTCATGTGCTGAAGCTTTGAAATTTGTTGTGAATATTTTGGTGTCTCAGACCTTCCTATCATGCATCACCTGAACTTTATTAACTGTCTCCCTGATTTCCAGTGGTGGTCCTCTGAATCCTAAAAATGAGAGATGATGGGCAGTGATGGCAGAGAGAAGATAACAAAAATAACAACAACAACAACAATCATAACCATAAATCCTAATGCTCTTTGAGAGCTATTGCATGCCATACATTGCTCTACATGCTTTATAGCCAATGATTTACTTTCAGAGATAGCGTTGTTTTCACTCTAGTTTTGAAGAAATTGAGGCACAAAGAGGTTGAGGAGTTGCCCAAGTTCTCAGAAATAGAAAATAGTAAAGATAGAAACATAGGCACCCTGACTTAAAAACGTATAGCATTAACCACTATATTGTGATGTATTCATTATAATTAGGAAAATGACCCCCTTCAGAAAAAAGATCAACTGATTTTACCCAAAATTCAAGCAAAATGATTTCCAAAAGAATCTGATGGTGGTTTTAGGTAACATAAGATATGAGGACTCTACACCAGCTATTTTCCTGTGATGATCATTTCTTTTGAGGCTTTATATACAGTGCTACCTCGGTTCATGAAAACCTTTTTGCAAACAATTTGGTTTGCAAAGAGAAGTGTTTGGCAAAATTTTGTTTTTGTTTGCAAACTCTGCATGGGTAACAAACATGACCACAGCTGTCTTTCCCACACAAACACAAATGTGTCCATCTTTTCCAAAATCATAGAACAAATTAAGTCCATGAACCGAAGTACCACAGCTAAGCACTGCTATGCAACATACTGTTTGTAGGAGCTGGTTGCAGAATCAAAAGATTATAGAATGTTAGCAGCAAAAGAGATACAGATATTTTCTAGCCCAGTAGCTTTTAATCTGGCTGCTGTTAGAATTAATTACCTGGGCAGTTTTGCAAAAGTGCTGCTGCCTGGGCCCATCTCCAGACAAACTGAATCAGAATCCCTGCACATGGAGCTCATATGCTGGAAGCTAATATACAGACAGCCTTGATGCTGAAGAAAGCCAAGGTTAGAGAAGTAGCCTGTCTCTAGTGGTAAAGCTAGAAGTTATTAAAGTTTTCCTAATTTCAAAAACTCTTCATAGTATACTGTGGGAAATGGTAGAATTCAGCTATCTAGTTGTAAGAATAGATCACAAGAAGTTTGTTAACTAAGAAAATTAAGTCATTTCTGGGAAATTCCACAAGTCTGTTTGTTAAAAGAATGCCAGAAAACTTTAAGAGATGTTGTAAAAGTCTCACAGGAGAAAAACAGATTTTCCTAGTTTTCTTATTTACCATTTTCTGGGATCAGAGGATGGGACCCAATGACTCTACGGGTGGTAAGAGAGATACGACTCACTATGCACATCTGTGATGTTTATGGTGGGCCTGTGGGCTTGATTTTGGCTAAAGTTGTCCTGCTCTCTTGATACTATCTGATAAGAAGAGGGCTGCGGTGTGCTCTTTGATGTATGGGGTTGGTGAACAGAAACAGGCGACTTGTGAATTCTCCTGTAGCTTTTATGAGTCACTTAAAGTCATTTGTCACCAGAGGTTAAAATCAGAAAGACGATACCCAGAATAACTAAGCTGCTTTCCTACATGTATAAAAGCCTTGCTTCTTTCCTTTGTGATTGTCAAATAGTGCCAGAGGACTTAAACTCCTGTTCATCCCCCAAGCTGTCTCCTTTTCTTTCTTTAAAAGTCGGTGCTTCCAGGTCCCTCTAGAGAGACCACCAACAGTATACTACTAATATTGTTCCAGGTGGTTAAAAATCTTTTCATTCAATAAATACTTAAGAGATTGATAAACATAACACAATTAGTTAGGGGATAGTCAGTAGTCACAGATACCTGAAGTACAGTTGTACTGGACAATTGTCTCCCAAAGCATAAAATATATCAAATAGTTAAATATTCTCTTGTCATAAGAATGATCAGAATATAATCATTCCTCAAATCTAAACTTATATGGGCAGGTCAAATGCAGCATAATCAAGAGAAAGCAGCATTAGATTTGGAACCAGTCAAGACTAGGTTCAAACTAGCATTGTGAATCACCAGAAAACGCATAAAGCCCTATTCTCTGGCTATGTACTTGTACAAAAAGGCACAGATAATACCTCCAATGACCACAATTAAATCAAACTATGTAGGTAAATGTTTCTAGCACAGTTGGTGGGGCAATTCACAAATAACTCCCTTCTCTTCCTTTTTTGAACAAGACTAAAAAGGAAATTAACTCAGTAAACTGTACAAACTACCTGATTTGACCCATGTTTTATAAAAGTAGACAAGTGCTTAGTTGGAGGCCATTTTTATACCTCATCCATAAATGCATAATCTTCTCTGGAAATCCTCCTCTTGTCTACCTGCCAGAATCTTACCAACCGGACATTTTCTTCTACTTCTCACTGGGATTTCTCATCAAAACTTTTCCTTCCCCTCACGAGTACCTGTGAGGCCTGTGTTCATGCTGATCTGCATGCAAGCCTTAATTCAGAATTGCACTATTCCTTTACTGCAGATTGGAAACAACAGAAGTGTGTGTAGTGCCTTCCATAAATGCTACTGCTGAAATGCCACACATACTGGGTGCTCAAGATAGGAAGATGTTCATGTAAGATAAAAATCAATTGCTTATAAAGCTTTCTGTCTCAACATGGGTTTTCATACAGAAGTTTTCTGAAGGGATATATTTTCTCAATAGGCCAAACCAGATCATTTCTCATGTATATTCATGAGGAGAGGTTATTAAATTAGATTGATATAAGCTTCCTAAGACACTGATAAATACCTTCCAGTATGGTAACATCTTCTTGTTCAGTTGATGGCTAGGAAAACTGTTTCCTTCAAACTTAATTTCAACAAAGACCACAGAAAGCATTTACTGTGTTCAAAGTACAATGCTCAGTCCTCCACAGATAACAAAATGATGCAACCAACATTGGTTCACCACAAGGGGTGGAGTCACATGCAAAATTTGAATAATGCTGTAACACAGGCCAGAGAGATAAACAAGATTCACCAAAATCCCCATATATTAGTTATAATTCAGTTGAACCTTTCAGAATTCCCTATTGTGGATATTTTTCATGATACTTTCACCTAAGTTTATATCAATACTCCCCAGTGTAAATACTTATCCTATAAAAATGTTTTTCGTGTAAAATTGCATGCCACAGGTTTATCTAAAAAGAAAATTTCAAATGATAAAAATAAACAGCTTACTGAAAACATGTCCTAAAGTAAGAGTGGAATAGCTAAAGTTCCACAGGATCCTAGTTATTATGAAAAATAAACAAATGCATAATTAAATTTAAAAAGTGACAGTTTACATGAGGAAAAAAATTTGAAGACATACCAAGTTAATCAAAATTAATTTTTTTAAACTACAAGATTTCTCAGGAACTTTTGTATATGAACATGTATTGTAAACAAAGAGCCAGATCAGATGAAAAGTATTGTTCATTTTTTTGTTTGTTTGTTTGTTTGTTTGTTTGTTCCTCAAGCATCTTTCAAGACTCTAGTACTATAGAACTTCATTTTAGGAAACACAGACCTGGAATGTTCCTCAATACACTGCCTGTTTAAAATTTGAACAAATGGCCACCCTAACCCTTCAGATGAAGAGTTGGTCACCTGGTAAACAGACCAAAGTCATCTCCCAACTGAGGTCAGGAATCTTGAGCTTTTATAAAGCCTTGGTTATTCTCATGGGAAATAAACCCAGCTCTTCCCAGACTAACTACAGCTGATTATATACCCATTAAAAAGCAATTAGAACACAATTGGATATAGTTCTGTTTTAAATAAAATAGTTGAATTATTGAGGAAAGTTTTTGCCTTCTTCTGGTGCCTAAGTGCTAAACAACTTGAAATCTGAATCTATATTGGACAAAACCATTGGAAGTTCAATCAAACTCATCAAATCAATTCAGTAAACTGAGGATGTTTAAGGGTGAACCTACTGATTAGTGGCTTCAAGAGATGTAGGAGGGAGGGAGGGAGGGAGGGAAGGAGGGAAAAAAGACTGGAAGAAGCAGCGAAAAATGGGAGGAGATGGGGACAAAAATGAATCAGGATATGTTGTGTTCCTGTACAAACTCCCCACGATAAATGTAATCATTATGCACTGCAAACACGTACTAATAAAACTACATAAGAAAACTAAATAAATATCATTCTAAATAAATAAACAAAACAGTTCATACCATTGTCTCATTAAGAATCATTAGGGTAAAAAATTTTTCCTATGAAAAGTTCTTCAAAAAAGTAGTCATTATTTTTATAAAGCTTTAAAAACAGAAAGCAACATACATCACCTAAACAAAATAGAATAAAAACTTCCTCCCAATTTAGAGACACTTTACGCAAGAATGCTGCAGTCTGGCATCTGTCCCAGTGAGCAGTAGCTGCGGAGCCTCTCCTGAAGCCTTTTGACTGGGAGATGGGCAAACACTGTGGCTCTGGGAGAGAGAAACACATTGGCGCCCTGCAGAAAGGCAAACCTGTCTACAAAAGGCCTGGTGGTTGTCAGGATTTGACAATGGAATGGTCTTTTTTCTCGTGTCCCGAATAAAACCCCTGTCCACCCAGACAGACCCCGAACAGCCTGCCACGCACTGCAATGAGTTTCGTCGCTCCAGTCGTCGCAGTCGTTGTAGCCATTACACTGCAGTTTCCTGGGGACACAGATTCCACTGGTGCACAGGAAGTGATCGCCCCCTCCGCAGAGCACTGGGAGAGAGAGAGAGAGAGACAGAGAGAGAATAACGTGTTTTTTTAAAAAATTAGGAGAAACAAATAATAGAAAGCCTTCCCTTGCTACCAACTCAACGATTTGTTTCCAGATGTTTCATTGTCACCAATTTTCCTTTGGTACTTTAGAATATTAATTGTGGAATTACCTGGGAATAATGCAACATGCTTGTCTCCAAAAGAAGAAAAGGAGAAAATTAACTAGTGGGCTTGCATGGGGAGAAGGCAAACATATTTAGAAATAAGAGCAAAGCTTCAGCAATTGCGCAATTTACCTGGGTGGATTAGCCCGTGGGAGCATTTTTCTTAACAACTGGAAATGATGTCAAAGTGAAGTACTACTAATTGAACAACAATTTTTTTAAAATGGTACCTAAATATCACAGTAATAATAGTCAACTGTTACGTGCTGGAATCCAGGCAAAGACTACATGCCCTACCTTTGGAGTATATTTATTTGCCTTAACAAAAATGCCAGGTAAAGGGGCCAGGGATTTAGCTCAGTGGATCCAGTGCCTGCCTCGAAAATGCCAGGTAAAATGTCAGAGTCTGTATTGCCATAAGGAATGTGAAATGACATTAGCTAATATTTTTGTTCTATTTTCCCTCCACAGTTACACACAAACATTACATTTTGGTATTTTTTGCTCTTATTAGGTGCTCTTTTTTCCTGAAAGATTCAACAAATATTCAATTGCTTTAAAATTACAGTAGATGATAAATTCAAGATCAAAACTAGATACACTTTTTAAGGCAGACCATTAATAAAAAGATAAATCAGTTCAACAAAATAATAAGTGTTAAAATAAATTTAAATATTTGATAATATGCATCAAATACCTTTTAGATGTCTATAATGTTTAACACAGCAGTCTTATTTTTTGGACTTCATACAAAGGAATTATTAGTAATATATATGAGTTTTATTCTTAGGGTTGTTTATACCATCATTATTTATAACAAGGAAACTATGAAATAACAACTATGCAATAATAGGGAAATCATTAAATAAATTTAGCACCTTTCTAATAAGGAATACTGTTACAGCCACTGACAAAAAGTATATTGTAGAAAAAAACTCAATGTGCTAGAACAAAGTTCAGGATACTTTAAGTGAAAAGACATCAACTGGCTTTAAAAAGCATAACTTGTCATGGCAAGAGGTACATTAAAAACTAGTGTAATTATCCCTGGTAATAAATTAAAGGAAATTTTTATTTTCTTCACAATATTTTATTCTGTATTTTTTAAAAGTTCTTATACTGATTATGTACTACTTTTTATTCAGGAAAAAGAAATACAGATTTGTAAAGGAAGGACACAGGAAACCTTTTCGTGAAGGTTTTGAAACCTTCAGTTTCAGAGTAACAGTAGACAAGCAGAACCTGCAAATAACTATCTCCCCGTCTCCTCTGTGTCCTCTGTCTCTCTGCTCTCTCCCCTTCAATATCTCTCTCTCCTCTCCCTCTCCCTCTCTCTCTCTCTCTCTCTCTCTGCCAAAGCTACAGTCTGTGTTTGTCAGCTATGTGGTCAGTTGCCTGGTCCCTACCATCATTCCCTGAACTGTGTATTTCTTAATCAGATGAACCCTTGAAATAAACAATGACAGCCAGAAAGTATGAAATATTTTAACTCAGAAATATAGAAAAGTATAGATCAAAACCTGCAGGTGGTAAGGTACATGTTTGTCATATTTCACACCATGTTCCTGGGACTCAGAAGAATGGCTGATATTCAAGAAGCTCTAAATTAATATCTTATGGGGAAAATCATCTAAATCTCCAATGGGGCTGTTATGGTTTAGTTCTAAAATATCCCCCAAATTCTCATGTGTTCAGAGGTGAAGCTTTTGGGAGGTGACTGGGTCATGGGGGCATGATATTCATCAGTGAATTAATCCATCAATGAGGTCCTAGCTGAAGTGTTGGTGAGAGGTAGGCTCTGGTCAAAAATGGTGGACCACAGGAAGCCTGACCTGGAAAGGTGTATTCTCATCCTCTGCTCTGCTCTTCCTCCTCTCTCTCTCAGCTTCCTGGCTACCACAGAGTGAGCAGCATTCCAACAGACCCTTTCACCAAGTTGTTTCCCAAAGGAGCCAGTCAATCATGGCCTCAAGCTATGAGGCAAGGTAAACCTTTCCTTTTTTAAGTTTCTAGTGTTGGATATTTTGTCCCAGTGATGGGAAAGTGACTAAGACAGAATCAATATATTGTCATAAAGCAAAAACAAAAATAAAAGAAAGAAAGAAAGAAAAGAAAATCAGTTGACATGTTATTTTCCAATACAAGCAAGATCAGTGCTTAAACTGGTTGACCATTAAGTTCTACTTGATCTGGTAAGATGACAAAATCAACAAAAATCTTGTTTTCAATTATATCTCATAATTTCAAAGTCAGTACAAATTATATCTGTGAATTTTAACTGCCAAAATATTCAACATGCTTTATTTGTACCTGTTAGAGAATTCAGCACAGGACTTCACTCCTATAGCTACAAATACAGATTCCTAAAGGGTACACAGGAAACCAGGTATAAAATGAAATTTCAAAATGCTAAGATTTTGCCAGCCAGTCTACACAATATCCTCTCTCTAGGGTTAAAAGAAAAATTTAAAGGAGTGTTTATCCTATTGTGAAATTGTTTCTGGAGAGTGCAAGAATTCCATATGTCTGCATTTCAGCAGCTGCAATTCTTCAAGAATTATTGCATTCCCCACCTATGACTCTGATAATTCCTCAGGAAAAGCAGCTGAGAGCTCAACATTAAATAACTGCTAACATCTAGATTTCATCTTTAAGACCTTATACCTGTATATGACTTCAGTAAAACCTGTTTCATCTGCATAGTTATCTCAAATCTAGACCAAATTTAAAACACAACACTACATGCATTGTCTTGATTATTGATACCTCCTGTGCTGGCTGATTCAGCAGAAACTAACTTTTTTTTTTGTATGGTTACATTTAGAGGTAATGCTATCTTTGATTTGAGAACATTATAAATTATTTCTTCTTATTTTTCTTTGAAAGTTTATAGTTTCAGTAACCAAAACTTTTGAAAAAATTAGAATAACTTGTATGTAATCTCTGATTTCTTAACTGTACTCAAAAGTTCTAATTTATTTATATAAAACTTTTAATTAAGAAAATGCTTTAAACACATCTTATTTGGAATTTCTCAAAGCTCCATAAAGTAAACAGGCAGGTATCCTTACCCCAACTTCCTTTGAAGAAGGTAATTATAAACAGAGGAACTGGAATATCATGAGATTAAGACAGAAATAAGCCAGGTAGCCAGTAAAAGATGAAAAGCACCCTAGAATCCTAAGGTCTGGGCTTCTCACCCAATCATCAACACCATACCCATTCCCCTATTGCTGGCCAATGAGTGTAGTCAGTTAACTCAAGTCCATTTGAAGGGCAGCAAGTTGGAGTAAAAGTTTAAACTTGTCTTTATTTTCCCCTATAAACAAAAGAGGAATATCTGTCTTTCAGGTGAATGTTTAAATACATAAAATGACATTCCATGTCAGCTCTAGGTTTATTTGGAAACATCCTAAGAGAGCACTTAACAAGTTTCTGCAGAGATTTTGAGCCATAAAGTTCACTCTTTTTTAACGATCATCTTTCAACAGGCTTTTAGCCCTTAGGTGACAAAAGGAGATCCTCGAGAAGTGATGGCATAGAATCTTGACATGATCTCTATCATCTATAATTCTAAGAGGAATATGCTGTATTTTAAATTAATGGTAGATGGCTCAAAGGAAGGTTCATTAATTAATTGAACAAATATTTAGTGAGTGTGTACATAAGGCACTATTCTAGTACTTTGGGATATAACAGTGGAAAAAAGAAAAATTTCCTGCCTTAATGCAACATATAGTCTATTGATCATCATGAAGAAACACTTACTGAAGATGTAAAAACTAGTTAATACAACTCTAAGAACTTCAATAGAAAGTTATATTTCCTAAGATACTATTTTATATGTCCAGATGATTGGATAATCATGAATCGCCTACTTCAGATTGTCATGGGCTTTGAAAAGCATCACACTCATGAGGATGAACAGATCATTTCAATATTCTTGTCTCTGATAACAGTCTGCTGAAATAATAACCCTAAAATTACCTTGAGATTTCCTGCAATTGCTCCCAGCAACCTCTATCATCTTTCCATGTATTGTGGCAGCATTTATGTTGGAAATGCTCTCATTACTCTGGTTATTAAGTTTTGAAGCCTTTTCAAAAATCTGCATGAACCAATGAGTGTATGATGACTTATTTGTCCTGCCTTTGAGCCTCACTTGAAGCCTGAAACTCAATTCAACTTCACCTCTGTAAACAATGCCAATCTGGCATAGCAGTTCCCCCACATTGTGCTTGAGCTAACAGCAAGTCTGTCGCTGCTGCATTGTACACGCTGTGGTAAATTAAGTTACAAGAAACCACTATTGCTCTTACCTTTTACAAGGTTGTTTGAGTAGATTAAAAACAGTGAGTGCAATCTTTCGGCAGCTGATTCAAGAATTCTTCTCAAGGAGAGCCCTGTATCTTTGTGCATAAAAGATGAATAGAAGATTTGGGTGGAAGAAGTAAGAATGTCCAAGGTGTGCTCAAATCACCAAAATTGGTCTCTACTCTCCTTCTAAAGTGAGTGAGTCACATTAACAGGCAGACCTTTCATTTTTTTGGACATTAAGAAGTGATGTGTGTGTGGGTCAGAAGACTCTGAATATGAAAAGAATGAGGATCTCCAGGAACAAAGAGAGGAGCCAGTGTTGTACTGTGTTGAGGAAGAGAGAAACCTGAATAGTTCATTGTCTCCTTTTGGGGCCCAGTATGGAGAAGACCCTTTAAAAAACAGGAATATCTAATAGAATATTTTGAACTTCTTTTCTTAGGAATTGGAGGTATAATCTCTTCCTCTGTATGCCAGGCAGAGCCGGCAAGGCTTGTGTTGCTTTCTGATTTACTTGTC